AGAACTTCTACAAGTCCATATAGAACGCTTCGACTTCTTCTTCGTCATAGTTTGATGTCGGCGCGTAAACGACGAAGATTGCCAATGCCAGAATTGATTCACGTCTTTTTAATCGTAAACATCCGACTCGGGTTGTAAGATGTTCGAATGAATCGATGTTCATTGACAAACTCGTGTTGACGAGAACGCCGACGCCGCCGACTCCTCTGCTGTCCCATGTTCCGAGGAACAGTTCTTCTCCGGTATCATAGACGGCGTCGAATGGACGGCGACGTATCATCTCGGCCAGGCCGATAACCTCGTACTTTATGCTTGTTGCTTACATGAGCAAGTTCTCTATCGAGGACTCGGATGCAAGTGTACGTGCATTGTAAGTACAGATCGTCACCACAGTTCTTTGAAAACCAGGCTTCCACTGGCCTTGAGATTTCAGCAGCCTCTCCGCACTCACTCTACCCAACGCTGCGAAATTAGGAGCTCTTTCGGGTTCACGGGAATAAAGCCCCTTTTTCCTGTGTTTAACATTTTTGATACCCACATATAGCTTGCTGGACTCTGAACATCGGGGTTAGGTATACTCATGGGTAGCTTGCCAGGCTCTCCCAAAGTGGACATGGAGCTTATTTGTTGGAGGCGACTCCTAACTGCCTCCCATATACTACCCAGTCAATTGATTGGAGGCTTTTGGCCAAATTGACTCGTAAAATACAATCCGCGTAAGCGAGAACGCACCACACACGCATGCATGAATACGCCTAGCAAATACAGAAAGTATGTGCCAAATCAGCGCAGCAGAAACAGGGAGTCCACCCCCTGCATCCACCTGCCTCTAAGGGAAGCAAAGGTCGCTTTTGATTCGCGATTAACCCCTATCCGCCACCTGGGGATGCTCCACGTAGCCTCGCGACTAATCGGCTCGAGATCCGTAATATGAGGGAGATCCGTGGAAAATTGAATAGTGCTTTCTGAAAATTGTAAAAGAAAAGCACTCGGTGTTAATCAATCTTTAAGGGATGCGCCATGCATTCGACTTCAACAAGCATCGTTTGGAAGTAATTGAATGCATATCTGGCCTTTACAATAACTCGCAGTGGCCTACCGATGTATCGAGCCACTGCTCCTATCCCCGTAGACAAGCTTGGTACCAATTTGTCGAGCCCGGAGGAACAGATGGCTTGGCGAGTCATAGGCGCGGGATCTATTCCACGTGTGTGTTGCAGAACGCCTCCGATCACTGGGCCACACGTGCCCTTTAAAAAAAAATAAAAATTATAAGCAGCTTTAATCCGATAAAGCAAAACCGCTTCTACAAATTTGATTTTTGTTTCTGAAGTACTCTAATTCACGAATAATTACGGACAGTCATTGAAATGTTGGCTTCGTTGTGAATGTGTTAATATGGCTCACTGTGAGCATAGGTTCAAAGTTGTTGGTTCAAAGTTGAAAGCCGCTGTCAGTTTTGCACTATATTAGTAGAAATCGATCCATGTTGAAAATCAAGTAGAAGGCATTTTTTAAGCTTCTAACGAAGCCGAGGATATGTAAGAATCAATAATGCATTCAAGAACATTATTTTGTCTTCACAACGTCCTGAATATGATAAATCACTACGCTCTTAGAAAGAAGAAAATCTATGAAGGAAAAAGGAAGAAACAATCCGACAGTTCAAGAAAATCAGAATTACAGTTGGTATAATAAGAAAACTATTAGGGTATTGGCAAGGGTCGGTAAATTCCAATAGTTCTCCCTGAAAAAGCTCATTTCATTCTGAGGAACCTTAACTTGTACGTGAAGGCTGGAACATTCTTGCGGAATATGAGTCACATTTGGCTCCTATGGACCAGAACATGTTAATAAACCGAGAACGACTACCATTAAAGTCAAAGAAAAACGTCGGCCCATTAAGAAAATTGAATCGCTTCAGTACTTGCAACTCCAGATATTTATCAATTTCCTTTTTAATCTAAACTGAAAGCTAAATTATTAGGCTATAAATACGCCCTTATCCACCTTACAGCTCGTACGGAACAACTGTGTAAACGCCTGGTGCATTCCATATAAATTTGAAATTCTCGTCGTCACAGCGAGCGATTTAGTTCCTCTATTTATAGAAGAATAGAATCCATTATGCAGTTGCCAAGGGCAATATGGAGGAAATGAACACCGCGGGACACGTATTGCACACTGGTTAGTGGATTAGTGGACCACACTTGGTCGGTGGTTCGATACCGTTCTCAGGCCTCACCAAGATTTCTGCCCCTCCAAATTCGCGAAATTAGTAACAGGTTTCTTGTCTGGGAGTATAGCTACTAGCACTGGACTGATAGATTAACGGGCCACTATAAGTCACTGCATAGGCCATATATTGTTCTCATTTATCTCTAATGTTTGATGAAGTCGTGTGAATGGCGCATCCATCAGGGATTGTTCAACATCGAGAGATTTGCCATTTATCGCTTATGAACATCGCGCTCCAAGATGGTGAGCTTGGAACTCCAATGTACACATTCACAATTATTCAAGTAAGGAAAAACGAAAGGTGCTGAGAATTTCGAAAACCAATGAATGCCACCTTAGAAAAAAAAACAAATAAATGTTAAACAGTCAAATATGTTCGCCAACTGGATGAGTGCATACGATAAGTTCCTAACATTTAACAGACAACCTCCACCCACTCTAAAATTCACCACGTCCAGCCAGCGCTCAGTAGAAAACGGAATCAATTTTCAAGCGTCGGCTCATTGTGCTCTAAACTACTTATGAGATGTATTCTTTCTTGATAAGCTTACACGAGGTTGATAAATATATTTATTTTCGGCTAACGTTTCGACGTCTTCGTCTTCCTCAGAGCCGGTGATCCGAGTCGATGGTCCATGCTTGTTGTTCGCCTCGACGTTGCGTCTTCGCCTTCCTGTCGAGCCAGATCTTCCTCAGCGAGCCATCTTCTCGAATGAGGCATCCTCACTCAGTGATGCCCTTTTATACACGATGCTGATGGTGGATATATAATGACAATGTCCGGTGGTAACAACTTGTATTTCTTCCGGACATACATCAATGCGCACATCGTGCAGAGGTTGGTGTATTATCAGCTAACACAAAGCGTAGTAATATTTCGAAACCGACCTTCCCTAAACCTCGGTGTGACTAATCAATATGTATTCTTTCTTGATAAGCTTGCACGAGGTTGATAAAAAAAAATACAAGTTGTTACCACTCGAAATAAATAAAAAATAAATATATTTATCATATATATTTAATATGTTGAATATGTTGGCTGTTGAATATGTTTTGCAACACACGAAAAGTGCTCTCAGAGAAGTTGGCACCCAGCTTCTCCTAAAGTTAATCGGTCGACAATGAGTGAAAAAACAAGGTTTGCTAAGCGACGACGGACATATGTTAATATTCGGAACTGAAAGCAGCGACATCGATTTCCGGTCGGTATATGCTAGTGACGCTAATTTCTAACAAAGCTCAGATGTCGTACTTTTAGTGCAGAACCGCTGTTAAAAAGACATTATTAAAGAAACCTCAACAGAGATTCTCCAAGATATTGATCCTAATTTGTCCAACGCTATAGAAATCGTAGAGATGAGCATTGCATAAGTGCGGATAAATCCTTACCCTAAAGGAAAACGTAACTAGTACGTAAGCCAGATATGGTGAGATATGCATTCATAGAATTAACCGCAGGGAAGAATGCCTTATTATCACGCGTGATATAGGGCAGTATATAAAACTGCTTTTCTGATGTGAGGGGCACATTGTACTTCCATGTGATTTCTGTGCGGTTGGTCTCTACGTGACATACTTAGTGGAAACCTCATAGGAAGCGGTGAGTGTGCAGAGCTGTGTTCAATGTGATTGAAATCTTGGTTTGGAGTTTCTTTGTTTGGTTATGGAGGCGTCTGGCCGAGTGGATTGCTATCAACTTGACCTTTCCAGGCTCTGAGGAAGGCGAAATCCGCCGAAACGTCAGCTTAATCGTGAACAAAGAATAATAACACCTCGCGTTTGCTCAACAAAAATACGGAGAAAATTACTTGATCAATGCCGAGGTTAATAGAAAGTCGGTCGTGACAGTTACTGCATTCATAGAGTTCATGATGCCCCTCAAAAAACATTTCGTGAGTCAAATTTGTTCCACATTTCCCTAACTACTCTTAATGCGGATCTGATTTCTATAGTGGTTTGCGAGACAAACTAAAAGCATCAATAAACACAAGGTTCCACTGTTTAAGGTGTAACGCGAGTCAAATGTATTTCATAAGTAACGTATGAATTAATCCTTATTAATCGAATTAGCAAATAGTCCAAGAAGAAGAGCAAGCTTTATGTTGGACTGACCTCGGTCTAAGCTAAGCAAGATTTCCCACTTTTCATGGCCAATGAGTCGGTAACGGACACGTCTTTATACGGGAACTACAGTCACATGATATAAAAAGGTTAAACTTGTCTTTTCAACGGTTCCCTCTTGTGGCTCATTTTTAGAAACAAAACTGTGTTCAGTCAATTTATAAATGTAATAAGAATGTGGGGAGAAAACACAGACGAGGAGGTAGGTAGAACAGTAGTAGCGATGCTGCTCATTGCAAACACGATGTTGGTCTGATCTCTCCACGGGGTCGCCAAGTCTCCCGTCTTTACGGGACCAGAAAATTGGTTCCAGACTTGCCTGGGAACAGTTTTTTGACCCTGTAATCCAAGTAGGAACGCTCGAGTTCGGCTGTCCCAGGAGTCCAAGGAGACGAATCGACCAGAATTCAACGACATTCATAAAGTTGACGACAATCCTCAAGCAGCAGCCGGACCCCTACGCTACGCTAAACGCTCGGAGACTTTTGTGAATGATGAAGCGAAGAAAAGGATCTAATGGAACGAATGCTGGGATCCGCAAAGTAGATGTTAAACAAAAACGAAAGGAATGTTGGCGAAGCCTGGTCTTCGAGGTGAGCGCCTCCGTGTCATTAGCTAGTCGTGCTGTGAGAGTTCTACAGAAATGGATGGAAGGCTCTGGCCTCATGGCTCATCGTGACTCAGATGTGAATAACATCAAGACGAAACTTGAATTCAATGATGAGAATAGGAAACGGCTGAACGACATCATCGCTAACTATACCGAGGGCTAAAAAGCTGCAGCCCTGATTCCTACTTTAGATCAGCACAATGTCAGCATGGATGGCTGCCCAAATCTGTTATGCATGAAGTGGCTCGCATCCTTGAAGTTTCACAAATGCATGCGTACGAGATTGCTACATTTTACACGATGTTTAACAGCCAATCTGTTGGCGAGTATCTCATACAGATCCGCGATACCAGCCCTTGTTTACAACGAGGTGCAAAAACAATAACAGAGGCGATAGGAAGGAACCTGGGTAACTTCCACGACCGACCTTGTATTAACCTCGGAAACGAACAAATAGTTCTCGATATTCTTGTTGAGCAAACACGAGGTGTTACTCTATTCTTTATTCACGAACAAGCTGACGCTTCGGCTGATTTCGCGTTCTTCAGAGCCTTCCACTAGGCACATAATAAACGGCTCTGAAGAAGGCGAAATCCGCCGAAACGTCAGTTTTAACGGAATGAGGAATAAAGTAACTCATCGTGTTTGTTCAACAAGAATATCGAGAAATCTTGGTATTCATGTGGGTGAAGCCACTAACGATGGACTCTCACGTTGGCAGAAGTAGAATGCTTAGGAGCTTGTGCTAACGTTCCAATGATACAGATAAATGATGACTACTACTAAGAACTTACTGTGAAAGCAGAAATATGGTGAGACGTCCGAATTTGCTTCACCAGTGATCAATTTGATTGAAACTGAATGCTATAAAACCTATCTGTTTCGGGGTTTGTTCATTTCGTTCATTCTCTTGATAGCAAAACCTCGAAAATTTGTCACTTCTCCTTCTCAGTTAAGTGAAACCAGGAACATGCTCACTCACCATGAGGAGCTAAACCATAGTGCGAATGACATAATAACAGATTAAAAATATAGTTCGTATGAAATGCTGAGATACTTGCAAAACTCCGGACCACAGGTGCATGCAGTGGGGAACGAACACGCGCTGTTATCCTTACCGGGGAGCAGCGCACTTCAGTAAAAGGCAGTAAATAAAAGGGTTAAGGTGTGGTGGTGAAGTGCGCTGCTCCCCGGTAAGGACAACAGCGCGTGTTCGTTCCCCACCGCATACACCTGCGGTCCGGAGTTTTGCAAATATCTTAGCATTTCATACGAGTTATATTTCGCAACATACCCTGCCATTAAGAAGAAAAAGGCAGTAAATAAAAGAGTTAAGATTAAAAATATAGTCTTAACCTTTTTATTTGCTGTCTACTTTGTTTTTTTTAAGGGCAGGATATCATGTGAAATACAACTAAGATGATGCTGAGATATTTGCAAAACTCCGCACTGCGGCTGTCTGCGGTGGGGAACGAACGCACTATTGTCCTTTCCGAGGAGTAAGCGTTCACCACCACACCATGCGGGTCCTTCGTTTCGCCTCTCTCTCAGCTAGTTCTACTGATCTGTGCCATCGGCAATCACCCGCTAACGGGACTGACCTAGGGAGCTCAAATCGGCAACGAACCTAGTTAAGCTGAGGCTGAAGTCGAAATCATCAGTTGTATCATCTCAGCATCATCTTAGTTGTATTTCACATGATACCCTGCCGTTAAAAAATTAAAGTGGGCAGCAAATAAAAGGTTAAGATTGTGATTATATAGTCCGTTGTACACTTCCAAAAAAGACATATCAAAGTTCAGCATAGACTATGAGTCTTAGCGCCCGTTCCATCCGCAGTAATCCCGTTAGAGCTGCCTTCGTAACCTATATAGACTTTCTTCGATCACGCAAACCACGAGATTTGTAGCGAATCTACAGAGTGGGTAGAAAACCTGATCAAAAAGATTCTGCAGAGCAAAATAAACAACCGGGAAGAAAATGCATGGAAGTTATTGCAAATTCGGCAATCTGCCCCTCTTTTCTCCCCCCACTCTTGCGAAGATCTTCAACGCTCAAAACATGTATAATGTCTACTCTCGGAATATGGTACATTGACAAACTAGTCGGATGGGATAAGATTAAGGTAATGACGTGAACTGTGGTGAGGGAGGGACGGCGCAGTCGATAGTGATACCGTCGATCAAGAAGGAGAGGGCGCTCGTTTGATCTCCGCCTCAATGCTCACCTCCAATGCATGTGGAAACGCCTTGGTCCAGTTATCCCCAAGATTGCAAGGAGAGTGGACTCGACCGGCATTCTACTTCATTCACAAAGAAGACGAAATCCTTAAACAACACCTGAAACAACATGTGAAGTGTTCGACAACCGGAAGACAATTGTGGAAGATGAATGAGACGAAAACGAATCGAAAACAAGAAGTGCTGCGATCTATGCAACAGACGTGATGACGGGTCGTATAAAAAAAAGTATTAATTGGGGTAGGCTTGGAGGAAGGCTAAATTGTAAGGACGGCCTACCAACGCTGACAGTCTGGAAGCGCCTTCTATCACAGCGTTCCAAGTTCCAAAAAACTTCGAAGGAGCAAAAAATATGTCTAGAAGAACTCATGAAGACAATCCATCCAAATATCAGGACTAGAATTCAAAATCAAAGATACGTAGTGTAGATTATATATGTAGGGTGCTCTGAGCACTTAGTTAAAGAATAAAGAATAAAGCTCTCGGTGTTGATCAATCCACAAGTGATGCGCCATGCATTCGACTTCATTAGGCATTGTTTAGAGGTAACTGAATGCATATCTGGCCTTTACAATGACTCGCGGTGGCTTACCGACGTATCGGGCCAGTGCTGCTATCCTCACAAAAAAATCTGGCACCGATTTGCCGACCGCGGAAGGTTGGAAGACTTGGTGGGCCATGGGCGCGGGAATCGATTCCACGTGTGTGTTTCAGGACGCCTCAGACCACTGTGCCACAGATGCTCTATGAGTTTACGCGTAGTAATGCGATTAAACAACTGCGATGCGATGTCGTTACCAGTGTTTGTAATAATATCGCTCATATTACATGACCGTAATTGTTGTAGCAAGGTTGGTATAACATTATCTTTGGATTACTGCATGCTCCAAGATCTGCTGATATATATGGGAGCGGATAGCACAGTGGTAGTGATGTCCGTCATCACGAGCATGGTGCTAGCTCAATTTCGCTCCGGGCCAACAAAGCCGCTCGTCCCTCCGGGGTCGGAAAATTGGTACCGGGCTTGTCTGGGAAAAAAATCGCTCTTTGCAATCCGTTTGGGAACGCTCCATGTCGGCTATCCCAGGATTCCAGGAAAAATTGCTCGACTAGCATTCTACGACATTCGAAATGAAATGGAAGTCTTCAAGCAGCAACCGAAGCCATACGTAAAAGCTGGAAGATCTTTGTGGACAATTGATGCGAGGAAACGAATCGAATGTGAGAAGTGCAGGCATTCGCACAGTAGACGTGAAGACGGGTCAAATAAAATAAAATTTAAAACATGCAGAGATATGATTGCCATTACAAAAAAGGAGGCAAAAACAGAATTTGATCGAGTCTTTTGTACTGGAAATTGACAGAGAACATTGGAAAACATGTGACTTACTGAGTCATATTTAGAGCAACTGCACGAAAAGGGCAAATAAGGTCAATGCCGCTGTGCGACGATGTTGTGATTAATCTAAGCCCGCCGAGCCCGCAAAACGACTGGCTGCCTGTTTGAGTTCGGAGAGCGTAGTTGTTTATTAGAGCAATCTATCGCAAAGAACGAAGAACACGACAGGATTCCTGAAGGAGTAGAACCCAGAATAGCAATGTCAATACTGCTGGAAAAAGTACAATTTGCACGCATGGGGCCGAGCAGACGCGACCGATCAATAAAATCGTGTGGGCTTAGGGCAGTTGTCTCGTGGGGAGGTGATCTCTTTAGCCAAAAATCGCGTCCAAGATGGTGTCAGTTTCCCTCCAGGTTTTCCATATCCTAGTCTCATCTGTAGGAAAAACCACTTCAACAAGATAGACGTGGTAGAGAAAGCCGTAAATATCCTGGGAATATTTCTATCCAATATTTCTGATTTCCATTTACTGGGTCATATTAATAGTACCAAGACGCCGAATATTCTACTCACAATCCATCCATTATCCTCTGTCTACCACAAGTCCGTACATTTATTTAGTCTGCATGTTGATGGCATATTGCTCTTTAAATCGTCGTCACCTCTAATACAATGCGAAACTGAGTGGCCTTCACGTTGATTCCTCAAGGCCACTGTCGGGAGTAATTTTATGTTTTCGATGCGTCTTCATTTTCAGCAGTATTTAGCACCTTGAGCACTTTATAACCTCCCAGGACAACTGCGCAATTGTGTGCATTGACATCCATGCATATTACTTTCAGTTTTTTCTTTAGCCACAACGAGTTTTTGGCTACATTTTTGCATCCACTCGACAGGTTATCCAACACGCCGTGAAAGATGTGCACATTTAAATATTCACACATAATAATTCATAAAAAAACTCTCCAGACGAGATTGTTACTGTGATTTAGGTCCCTTGACAGGCACTAAGATGTGTATGCTGTGCTTGTACGATGATGTTCGAGACACACAGATAACCTAGCATCGCGATGAGACAGTGAATCATCGAAGCGATTGAATAGATGGAAAGGTGGTGTGGAGAAAGACAACGTGCAGACGAAGATCCCATTCATGAATATGTGGAGGGCTATGCTCACCCTTCCGCATATACAATCCCCATGTGCAAGCGTCACGATGTACTTTTTAAACACAGCTTACATACTATTACTACCACTACAATCCTGCAAACTTTACAGTTTACAATCTATACAGGTTCATAGATAGCTCTGAGAATTACTTACTATTTTTATCTAAATTTTCACGACGTGCACTTTTTCTGGATATTACTGGATTATTGCCAACAACAACTCTTATTGCACTTGCCGCATCTAGTGTTGACCTACCTGGCACTAGTTGGAGGCGCCCTGCAATACACATGGGATGGAATCCCGCATCAGGCCTACCATACCTCTGGGGTCGGCAAATTGGTGCCAAACTTGTCGGGAGGATAGTAGCACTGGCTCGATATATCGGTGGGCCACCTCGAATAATTGTAAATGCATTCAATCACCTCCAACTATGCTTAATAAGGTCGAATGCATGGCGGTTACATAAGGAATTGATCAACGCTGAGGGCTTTATTCTTTATTTTAATTGGCAACGAAACGTCTACATTTTATTCTGATAGTGGAGTCTTTTGAAGGGTATGGATAAGTGAAGTGACTC